AGAAAGAGACAGGGAAGGAGGAAGGAAGTCAAATGATCCCACTAGAGGCTCCAAGAGTTAACCACGCCAGGGCAGACGGAAGGGCCTACGTGCCTCGAGGGCGTTGCCACGCTGCACAAAAAGTTAAGGCTCACACAACCATATTTCCTGAGAGATAGTATTTTCCGAGGAGAAAGCACAGAGTTTTGTCACACAGGAAAATAAAGACTTTTATAAATCCCAGCTGTAGGAAAGTGTCCACATATAGCAAAATTAGAAGCAGTGAGAAACGGGATGAAGAATGAGACAAAGCCTAGTTTTTGTCATTTTTTTAATCGCTTTACTCTCTTCTATAAAATGTAGATGATTAAAAATTTTTTTAAGTCTCGCTATACTAAGAAATGCCTTGGTAGCTAGCCCCCAAAACAAAAAACTCAGCAATGGTTCCTATTTGCTTATAAAAGCAGAACAGAGTCGCTGGCCAACATCATGTACGAGAAGATGCTTGCTCTCAAGTTCCAGGGCGTTAGCTGGCCAGGTACAATGTCTTTCTGAGTGCACGAAGAACTCCTGTGGCAACAGAGGCGAGAATCAAAGAGAAGAAGTCCGAAGACGTAGAGCTGTCAACGCTGAAGCCGCCAAGTACTCAAAAGGCGACACTGACCACGGTGAACACATGACAAAGTCTTAAAAACAAAACCTCCAGGAGGAGAGAAGGAGACAGGATAAGTCTGCAGGCATATGTGTCATGTTATTGCAAAACTTCAGCTGCCCAGTGGAACCTTTCCAACATCAACAGTCCCCAGGCCAGAAAACAAACCTGGCGTCACAGGGTCTGTGTGTGAAAGAAGGATGTTTGGGGTGTAAAAGAAACTGGGATGGCCTTTGTGCCTCTGAGAGAAAGCTGTGAAGAAGAGCTCTCACCCAGACGGGCTTCTCCAAGTCCTACTTCAACCTCCCCAGAGATGGGGACTGGAGCTCACCTGAACCCAGAATCTTCCAGCAAACTCTAATGGGAAACTATCTCTGGGGCTTGACCCAGAGGCTCCAGTCCATACGAGTCAACTGCCCAGACATGAGTTATCATTAAAGTGTATCTAACTTCTCATCAAACCAAATGAGATAATGTGAAAAGTGGCCAGCACAAGACATAAAGATGTTCCATCAAGAGTCGCCATTGTGGGATTTTTTTAGGCACTTATGGTGCACCTACTATGTGCTAGGCATTTTATATATATATATATATACTGTTGCATCCTTAGAAAAATCCTGCAAGGCACTAATAACTTTGTTTTACATATAAGGAAATCAAGGCTCAGCGTAGTTAATTAATTTTCTCAAGGTCACCCAGCCTCTCGGTGAGAAGCTAGCATTGGAAGCCAGGTCTATAGGTTAGTCTCATACCAAAGTCCATGCTCTTGCTATTACAAGGTTTCTTTCTTATATATACAAAGGATTACCTACCCACTGCTTACGAAAGCCAAACCTCAGGATGCTTCCTTGGTGACCCATTTGTGAGAGCACGCGCCAGAACAGAATGTTAAAGCTTGACAAAGGCTAACGTGTAACGTGAGATGACGAAGAGCTATGTGAGCTGCCTGAAGAGTCCCTGTGCTGATTCAGGCTTCCCTGGGCACAGTAGGAAACATCTCAGGAGGCACATCCCCGACTTCTGTGTGGTCTATGAGAGGGACCAGACAAATTTCAGAAAGACACCTCCATCCCATCCAAATGCTTCTACTTCAATCCTAGATGCCAGGGGCCAGCAAACTTTTTTCTTTAAAGAGTCAGACAGTAAATATTTTTAAAATATTTAAATGTGATGGTCTCTGTCACAACTATTCAACTCTCCTGTTGCAGAACAAAAACAGCCTAGACAATACGTAAATAAAGAGGTGTGACTGTGTTCCAATAAAACTTTATTTGCAAAAACAGGCAGGTGGCCATTTGCCAACCCCTGCTATATGCCTTTGTGATACCATGTCTCTTACACATAATGACATCAAAAAGATGGACAGGCACTCAGTATTACCACTTGATCATGATGGTGTCAAGTGAGAAAGTCCCCAGTTTACAAGGAAATTTCTAAGGCATCAATGTCTGATAATTACCACTGGTCTCAGTTTCTCCTAGGGAAACTTTAGGTCCCCCCCAACTATCCTGTCCTACACACTATCCTCACAGACATAACCAGAGCCAACCAGGGAAAAATAAAGGTGGCCGGGGGCCGGCCCCGTGGCTTAGCGGTGAAGTGCGTGCGCTCCGCTGCTGGCGGCCCGGGTTCGGATCCCGGGCGCGCACCGACGCACCGCTCTCCAGCCTTGCTGAGGCCGCGTCCCACATACAGCAACTAGAAGGATGTGCAGCTATGACATACAACTATCTACTGGGGCTTTGGGGAAAATAAATAAATAAATAAATAAAATTAAAGGTGGCCTGGTCACTCCAACAAAAGGAAGGTGGTTGTACCTGCCTGGAAACCATTTCTCAACATGACCCCATACTAATCCAATTGGAAACTATATAGGGGAAGTAGGAATGGAAAGCAGAAGAAATGAAGTGGAAGCAAACATTATGAACCACTTGACATGGCCACTTCACCACACTCAAGAGACTACAGCTCAAGAAGACAGGCACTCTCTTCCCAAGGATATGTAGTTTTCTATAGCACCACCACTTACTAGCTGTGACCCAGGACAAGTTACCTCCTCTCTCTCAGCCTCTGACTCTTTGTCTGTAGGATGGAGACGATAACAATACTCATACGGTTACAGTGAAGCTCAAATGAGATAACACATGTAAAGTTATACAGGACCTGACACGAATTAGCTATGACGACAGTGATGATTCTGATTTTGCTGCTGCTGATGATCTTTTCTCCTCTATCCTTCCCCAAAGCAAACACATTGAGCTAGATTCTACAATAGATATAACAGACAGGCAATAAAGCCCTTCCCCTCACAGAGTTTATAACCTAGGTAGAGAAATTAACCACTGGTAGATGGAAAAAAAGCAATTCATGGAAGCAATTGCTAAATGTCTAATGAATGTTTCAGGCAAAAGATGCTGTATAATTTCAGAGAGAGGCTCACCCTCACATCTACCACTTGGTTACAGAATGAGAATTAAGCCTCATACTAGGGCTCTGCAGACCTGCTAGAGGTTCAGAAAATGGGGAGACCATTTGTAGATGTAACTTCCAGGTACCACAGGCACCAAAACAACTTCTATTTGACTTAACATATTTGCTTAACAGTAATGGGGGAAAGGAGGAAGGTCTTAAGAAGAAGTCTCCTGATAGATACTTTTGCTTAGGGTGACAATCACAAAGTCTTTCCTGATTGAAGATTTCTCACTATAAGCAGTATCAATAACATTGCCATTTTTTCCTACCAATAATGATGATGATAATAAATATATGTACTTAGACTTTATCATGCACTTACTAGTTATCACTTAGCCAGGCATTGGTTAAGTAGCATACAGACATTAACTCAGTTAACTTTAACCACAGTCCTTTGAGGAAAAAATCATGATCCCAGATGAGAACTGAGGCTCAGGGGGATAATTTGACTTGATCTAGTCCCTCACTAAGTGTTAGAGCCAGAAAGTAAAGCCAGGTTTCACGGATTCCAAAGCCTGGGCTTCAACCACACAACTGGTCTGAAAAAGACTCTGGCCCATGGGAGTTCACATGGTCTCCTTCCCACCCCACCGTCCCACACCTCCTCCAGCTTTACTCAAACAGGGAACCAAACATATGCAAAGGTACTGACCAGCCCAAGTCACAGAGAAAATCAACCAATGCTGTATGGATTCACCTCGTGGCCCAAATCATCCCACACACTCTAGTGCCCACACCACCACCTTTACCACAGAACTGGCATACAGATAAACCTGAAGGGGGCCAAGGATGGCATACTTGTTGATTGACGGTCATGTAAAACTGCCTGCCCCTTGTCAGGGATATATCTTTTGTTTGTAGACCTTGCTATCTATAAGGAAAAGATGATATGGCTAAATTCAACAGCCAGGCATAAATTACGCTGAGTGGCACTTCTCACAATGAAGTCTCAGGCTGAAAGAAGAATGATGCCCTCCTGATAGAGGTAAAGATTGGGTTGTTCATGTATTTTCCTGTCGATGGACATCCGGTCCTTACTGATGGTATATGGACTTTATTGATTTTGGTCTTCATTGATGGTAAATGAATGTTACAAATAAGTCCTACAAATCTGATCAGTCTTCAAAACTTATCACCTTTCTACAAGGGGTTCAGCCAGTACCAAAACCTGACCACTAGCAAGACCCTCAAAAGATCAGACCAGAAAAGACACGAGTATAAGCAGCTATTTAGAGCCTTAAAAACACATAGAACCGGGGCCAGCCCCGTGGCTTAGCGGTTAACTGCGCGCGCTCCGCTACTGGTGGCCCAGGTTCGGATCCCGGGCACGCACTGACGCACCGCTTGTCCAGCCATGCTGAGGCAGCGACCCAAATACACCAAATAGAAGGATGTGCAACTATGACATACAACTATCTACTGGGGCTTTGGGGAAAAAAAAAAAGGAGGATTGGCAATAGATGTTAGCTCAGAGCCGGTCTTCCTCAGCAAAAAGAGGAGGATTAGCATGGATGTTAGCTCAGGGCTGATCTTCCTCACACACACACACAAAAAAACCACATAGAACCAAGTCTCTTGAGGCTTGAAGTCCAACTTCTGTATGTCGAGCCATTCTTCTTTCAAACTCTTCGGCATGGCATGTAGAAGTCAATTAAAATATTAAAACATACAGTCAAAAGTTTTTTACCTAAAGGCGTAAGATATTCCTGAGATAACAACTGAAGAAAATTAAAGTTGGAAGGGATTACCTCATCTAATGTCATTTTACAGCTGTAGACATTGAAGATCAGACAGGTTAAATGACTCACCCAAGCCCACACAGCAGGTAGTGATGGAGCGACCATGGGGCAACCATGGACGGACCTGGTATGTATATAATCCAAGGCAGATTATTTACCTGAATTTCTTACATTGGTGTTGTTCAGTTTGGAGTCCTTGATTACCAAGTGCTTAATCCAGAGAGTGGGAGCTGTGATTTCTGAAAAAAAAAAAAAAGGAGAGAGAATATGAAGTCTGGGGAAAGAGAGTATTAACTTGGAGTGTACCCTCCAGATTTCTTAATAGCTTTTTTAAACATCTGAGGCATTCGAGGCTTGAGCTATCTCCCTCGTTCCATATCCACTTTGTCCCAAAGCCCTCTCGCTTCCGCACAACAGAAGCTCCTCTCCCCATTAGCTCATAGGAGCCAACTGGGGCCTCCTGTGCCGGGAGGCAGAGTGGTCAGAGTCCAGAGGCGCTGAGCCACTCCATCCAGGAATAAAAATATTATCCCAGGAGGTGAGGAACATGGGCCAAGCCAAGTCTCTCTCAGCTGCTTCCTTGGAAGAAGATTTAAAGGGGATAAATCAACAAACGAACGCCAAACAAACCACAGAGACCATTTTGGAGGAAACGGCTGAGCCACAACAGATTTCAACTTGCTGAGACTCTGCCCCACGTGGGAAAGAAAGTAATGGGTCTAATGTGTGCTTCAATTCCCTTTCTAGTGGTTTCTCATTGAACAGAGGCTGAATTCCTCCATCCAGAGTGCTCCGGGGTGCCCCTAGGCTCTCCAGGGCTTGGGTCACACCGTGGACAGGTGGTGTGGGAATCCAGATGACCCTCAACAGGCTGTAGAGTGACAGGATCTTCGGCGGGTGGTTGGGGAGGTCTCCCAAGCTGACATGGTCTCCATTCTCCACCCGATCCCCCAGGGTCCCAGAGTTGCCAATGATCCAGGACCCTTGTGGATCATAGAAATGTTTGAATTTCTAGGCATAAGCACACATATGTTCCACTAAATGACCAGTTGCAAAACATATCTCACATTTCAATCCTTCTCTCTCGAGCCAAGCCTGTGCTGGGGACATCCCTAGCCACAGTACCAACCAGTGGCATAATTTATTTTTATTCCTCTGTCTCACTGTCCAGTCTTATGACCCAGGACTGGATACACTAGGCTGAAAGCTGCTAACGAGTTGCTATATATTACACTGAGAGCCGAATCTTGTTGTCAGACTTTCTAGAAACCTCACTCTGCCAAGCTTCCTGCTCCTCCTCATGGGAACCTGGAGTACTTAGCAAAGCACACTGAAGAATATAGGCCCTGAGAAACTCAAACACAAATCGAGGCCAGCCTTTTACACTCTAAGCTCCTCTTGTCTACTCCTCACACCTCCAGGGACATCCCGTCTCTATTTTGCCACCAGCCACCACTATGTCTCTTGACCTAGAATTTCTCCTCTCCCAAATGTCTGACTCAACTCTCAACGTCTCTAAAACTTGGCCAACCAGCTCTATTACCAGTCTCTTTCCTGCTACTTTCCTCACCAGACCCCATCCCCACCATACTCCTTCCTTTGTTCACGCCAGTCCCCTGCCTGGCTCCTCCCCCCACTTTCAAGATCCAGCCCAAGTCCCATCTAGTCACAGAATCTTTTCCCAGGCCATTGTGATCTCTTTTTTCCATAAATGTCTACCACAATAAAAACTGAGACCATATAATTTAACACACAAAGCTCTCCAATAGTTGCCACTGTCTTGAGAGCAAAGGCTTCATTTCGTCTATTTCTCCTTTGACTTCCAGAAGCCTAGCACAGAGCTGGGCACAGAGTAGGAACTTAGAAGTGCTGGTTCATTTACTAAAGGGACACTGCCGGCCTGACTGTCTCTCTCAGCCATGGCCCCTTCGTCTTGGCAGCTCCAAGGATCTGTTCAAGCCATGTTATTGTTGGACACCAGCAGCCAGGCAGGAAGTCTGTCAAGAACAGAGGGCCTTTCCAGAAGTGGAGAGTGTACCAGTTCCTGGGAGGGTTTGCATTTTTTAAAAGGTTAAAACAACCCAGCTTAAACTGGGTAAAATTGAAATTAAAAAAGAAAAATATATAATAATAAAGGTTAAACAAACATCCGAAGGAAAGACTTTCCCCAAATCTGAACACAGATGGTGGAATTCGAGTCGGAAGTGATACAAGAGCTTACCATCTCCGTCGAACACCGGCTGAGTCTCCATCGTGGGTGTCGGCTTAGACCCGTCATCTGAATTGAGCGTTAAAAAGAATCGAAAAGAGACTACCATTATTGAGGTAAATACTATCTACTCTCCAGCACTGTTGAATGGTTGGGGTTTGCACATGGCCCGGCCAAGTCCCAGTGAAAAGACCAAAGAGAAAGAAAAGAAAGAAGAAAGAACAAGAAGGAAAGAGAACCATAGAGAAACACCAACAGTAAGACAAATTCAGGTGTGTGCTTGCCATCCCACGGAAGGGAGCTATGTTGTCATGGCTTTGGAGGATACTTTCTCACAAATTTGGGTGCACCAGCATGGGTCTGTCAGCCCTTGTTCCTCCCCACAGGAAAGGTGGGAGAGCCATCTTCCCCAGAGGCACTGATTTTTGGCCTGGCTTGTTGGGACAAGGTCAGCACACTTGTGACATGAAATTCTGGCATCTCCAGCTCCTTCCTGCCCTCTTGTGAAAGGTACCAGCCCAGTACCTTTCTAGTGGCCCTCATTGAAGAGCTAAAGGAACACAAAAGAATGTGGTGCTATTCCCTCCCAACTTCCTAGCTATTTCTCCATCCTAATTTAAAAATAATGAGGAGGCAGGAAGGACCATTCTCTCTTCAGCACGCTGGGCTGAAGAGAATCAGGAATCCTTAGAATACTTTTAACTGTGAAACAGGATGCACCCCAATTCCCTGTGAGAGGTGGAGGCAAACGAAATGAAAGGGAACGTGGGAAATTGCACCCTGGATTTGTTTTGAAATTTCCAACATAGCTGATGGGAGCAGGGAGTTCCCAATAACAAAGTCCTAACACTTATTATATAGTAGTGTTGGCAGCTGTCTCTGCAGAGCAAGAACCTCTGCAGGTCAGGAGTGAGTGCAGACTTTATCTATCTTCCAGGACTTAGTTATCTTCACTAAAATAAAACCTTAGTTCAGAGCAGTGTTTCTCAACTTTTTTTTCATTATTGCCCACCTAAGGGCATTTTTAGACTTTTTTTTCCTAATCACCTTCCTAATGAAACTGTAATAACACAGATACACTGTATATCTCTTTATGTACTGTATGTATATCTGTGCTTTATATGTAAAAAGAGCAAGGGTTCTTTTGCCCCCCAAGAACCAATTTTTGCCTCACTGGTGAAAGCTGGGAGCAGGTATCTTTGCCCCCAATGAGAATGCATAGTTTAGAGATTTCCGTTTTCTCCCTCAGCAAGAGAGGGAAGGAGAGCTCTGTGGTCTGAGACAGTTTGATGATTACACCACCCCTCTCTTCCCAAGACCTCTAGAGGTCTTTTAGAACTGAAGGCTATATTCTCCAAGCATTAACTATTTATGAAGAATGCGAGTTCTCGGATAGTCTCTGCGACGCCAGTCAGATCATCAATAATAACAACCCTCCACCATTCGGAGCTCCCAGAACCTTTGGCCGACTTCCCCACATCTTATCGGGGGAGGGAGAAAGAACACAGAGTCCTGATCCCTTTTTTGTGCCAACACCTCACCCTTGGGATCTTAAGATGCGAGAGCTATGGAGACCCTAGCCCCTGCTGGAGGCTGAGACCAGCAATCTGACAGCTGTTGACACCTGACCCTGCTATTATTCTCCTGGGCTGACACCAAGACCCAACTCCCACAGGGGCCAAGGCCATCCCGAACTACCCGACAATCACCCCAAGGAATGAGACGTAGCAGGAAGAGAAGAGTAACCATGCTGGATATCTTATTCGCCTCAAACTGGAGCCCCGAGCAGGCACCTTTTGATGCCAGACTCTAAGTTTGAGCTGGAAGTCATTGAGGGAGAATAAACACGGAACAGAGCTACACAATGTCATTTTTTTAATAGCATCACTTCCCCTGACTCTATTAACACCTCTTTCCGTTGAATTCAACGAACCACTGAATAAGGTCTTTTGGCAGCTGCAATGTACATTTGGTTGCTCCTGCCGGATGCAGAGTTCAGTCTAAATAGCCCAGCACAGTGTGCTCAGCCTCTCCACACAGGGTGGCTTCATTTTAGGAGTCTTAATGGTAACAAAGAAAAAGTGAGAAATCAAACATTCCCAGAGGGACAACGGTGAGAAGCCAAGTGCAAAAGGGCTTATGCAATATTTTAATATTCAATTAAAATCCCCCCATATCCCAAGAGCTCCATCTCTCTCTGGAGCAAGATAACAGAAAACATTCCGTTTATTTCTCCCATCATCCAGATGAGAGTCTGGGATGGCCCATCTGCTCCAGCGGTTGCAAAGACAGTCCGTTGCTCAAGGAGAGCAAGGAGGGTTTCCAGTCTCCCGGGGAAGTTTTGCACTTCTGCAGGTCGAGGACCTCCACGATTGCCCAGATTCAGGCCCAGAAGCCCACAGAGCATGAAGCCACGTGCAGGGAGTGAATCTTCCTACAGGATAGGGTCACCGAGGGTGAAGAGATACAGCTGCACTGCCAGAATGGAGGCCCCAGATGTCAATCTTTATGAAGTGAGAAAAGACAAGGTGCCCTGCTGCCAGGAGAGCCACCTGTGAAATCCAGCATGCCCAGAGGATGGAAGCCAAGCCAAAGCCAACAGGACCCTCTGACCATCATCTCCGGGCACCTGGGCACCTGGCTTCCAATCCAGCAAACAAGCGCCCTTCTACCAAACACAGGTCCGAGGCCTGAGTCCAAGGTCCACATCAGTTCTGCTTCCTGGCAAGCCTTGGGGCAGTACCAGGCCCCACACAGGGCCCTGGGGGGAGAGAAAAGCTTCCACATGTGCCCCCAGCCTCCCAGTCTCCAGTGGGGTCACACTCCAGATCCCACTTTTACATCCAATAAGCTGCATAACTTGAACCCCTCGCTTTTCTTCTCTTGGTAGTAATATCTTCTCTTCTAAAAATGAAGGCTGCCTGCCTCCCCGGCCTCAGAACCGCTGTGTAGCTGTAAAAAACTTGAAAGGCCTCTTAAAGAGATATAATACCATGAGTGCTAAACCGTCTTATCTAACTGCTTACTTTTAAAATTGGATTTGAAAATTAAAATCCTATCAAAGTTTTAAATTAAAAAATTAAGTAAACTTTACAACTCAGTAAGAAGACAAACAACCTGATTTTAAAACGGGCAAAATATTTTAAAAGACGTCTCACCAAAGAAGATGCATGGATGGGTAATAAATACATGAAAAGATGCTCAACATCATTAATTGCTAGGAAAATGCAAATTAGAACCACAAAGAGATACCACTACACACCTCCTAGAATGGCTAAAACTTTAAAAATAGAAAATACCAAGCGTTGACAAGGATGTGGGGAAATGGAAACCCTCGTTCATTGCTGGTGGGAATGCAAAATTGGGTAGCCACTTTGGAAAAGAGTTTGGCAATGTCTTTAAAAAGTTAAACATAAACTTAGAAATAAACATAAACCAGAAATTCCCCTCCTGGGAATCTATCCAAGAAAAAGAAAAACATGTCCACCCAAAGACATGTACACAAATATTCATAGCAGCATTATTCACAATAGCCTCAAACTGCAAACAACCCAAGCGTTTGTCAACTGGTGAATAGATAAACAAACTGTGATACGTCCATATAATGGAATATTATTCAGCAATTAAAAGGAAAATTACTAAAACCTATGACAAGATAGACGAACCTCAAAAACATTATACTAAATGAAAGACGCCTGTGCAAATACTATGTATTGTATCATTCCATTTATATGAAAAGCCTAGTAAAGCAAATCTGTAGAGACAGAAAGCAGATCCACGGTTGCAAGGACTAGAGGAGGGAGTGGGGTATAACCGTAAATGGGTACAAGGTTTCTTTTTCGGCTGACGGAAACATTCTCTGGTAATGGTTGCACAACTCAATAACTGTACTAAATTCGTTGAATTGTACATTTACAGTGGGTAAATTTTATGGTATGCAACTATACTTCAATAAAGCTGTTAAAACAAAAGAGGGGGTAGTGTCAAAGCTGTCACAGATAAATCATCAGGCACAGCAGTTAGATTATTTGAGTGATCCTTAATTTGGGTTGAAGACTTCCATATATTTTAAAGAAAAATACGTCTGAATCTCAGTTAACATACATGCACATGATGATTTGATACCTGGTGTTTATCCTTGGTGATTCTTTTGGACCTCAAATAGTAAGATTTCATTTCTCTTTAATACCATAATACTCTTTTAGACCAAGGAGAAGATGATAGAACACTGAATAAAGCCATTTCAAAGATTATCATCTTTCTTACCGGGAGAAAAAAGTAAATTTGGAAAGCTTAAAAAAAATAAATATAGCAAATCTGAGAGAATTTCTCAAGGATGATGTCAAGATCAACAATAACAACAGTAATAGCACATTTTGCAACACTCACAGTTTCTGGCAAGTGGCTTTCCTCATCTATTCTCACCACAGGCCAGGGCAGAGGAAGTCGCCAGGCAGATAAAAACAGATTGAGTCTCTGTGCAAGAAAGTGATTTGCTCAAGGCCCCAGAGGCATTGAGCAGCTTTGGAAACTGCCCAGCCCCAGAGCCATGGCATCTGGCCTTCCAAGATTCCTTAACCCCCAACCATGCCTCGTCCTTGCAGGTGCAGCCCCAGAAAGTCGCAGCCCCCGCACCTGCTCTGCGAGCCTATACAGACAGTGGGTTTGTGTGACAGCACAATTCCTTGCCCTGCGAGAAGGCCTGGCCCACGCACAGACAGCTGGAAGTCACTTCGACCCCCGATGACACCATTCAAAGCTGCCTCTGTTTGGCTTTTTGATTCCTGATTGACATTCGCTGGCGAGTGGAGATAAATGCTGGGCTGAGGACAATGTTGATCCGCTCTGACTATTCTCAGGGAAAGACTTTTCAGAATAACAAACAAAACAAAACAAAACCCCAAAAACATTGGTGTGCTTCAGGGACTGAATAGAGCCCAAGAAGTCCAGGGAAGCAGGGCCCGGCCTTTCAAGGGGCTGGCAAGTCCATTGAGGAGTTAATTGTTTGGGTGTACAATGAGTTTATTCTGACCACATACAAAGAGCTTTCTCTTCCAGGTCCTTCAAAAGCAAATGTGTCAAAAGAGCCAGAGGAGGAATCT